GGTGTTGAAATTAGTATAAATAATTGTGCTATACGTAAACTATTATTGTCTTGCGTTAGAAGGAACGTTGAGGGTGCGGCATATACTGTATTTAACGTTTAAAGTGTCCATGATGCTTTGAGGAGTATTTAAAATATATATATATAAATATATATATATATATATTATATATATATATATATATATATATATATATATATATATATATATATATATATATATATATATATATATATATATATATATATATATATACATATATATAAATATATATAAATATATATATATATATATATATATATATATATATATATATATATATATATATATATATATATATATATATATATATATATATATATATATATATATATATTATATATATATATATATATATATATATATATATATATATATATATATATATATATATATATATATATATATATATATATATATATATATATATATATATATATATATATATATACATAAACATATTTATGAAGACACAAAAAAAAGTATAGACTTATTATTAAAAATTTTATAAACTTTTATTAAATCTTAGCAAGTTTTAATAAAAGTTTATGTTGTATACTTTTTGAAACTTTTTGCAAAGTGCTTTGGTAACTACTACACCACCTTTATTAATTGGTTGTTTTTGTTTAAAATTCTTCAAAACAACAGAACTAACTTGTGGCATTTTAAATTTAAAAAAGAAATTAATATAAAAAAAAATTCATAAACATAGAGATAATGAGCCTAATAATGAAAAAGGCGTTTAGGAAACGAAGTAAATTTAGAAAGAAAAAAACTAATCCAACTAATTCAAGTTTATTTCCGAAGAAAACTTTTTTTTAATACTCAAAATCATTTAAAGTTAAATTATATATTTTAAACTCAAGTTACAAGATTGTCAATGTTTTAAATATTTGGTTAAAACTTTATAATAATATCGCATTTAATAAATGTATAAATATTTTGCTTCTATAAAACTTTTGCTTGTATAAAGTATCTTTGTCATAAGAGTAAATAGGGCTTTAAGTTTAAGAAAATATAGGATAAGAAACACCCTAGACCAATAATACATTTTAATTTTTTTTAATAGATACAAAAAAATACAAAAATATAAATGAAGTTAATGGAGATTTTTGTAATTAACTGAAAATAATGAAAAAGTTTATCGGCCGGAAAAATAAAACGCCCATATTTTTCTAAAATACAACATTTTGCCAACGTAAAATACAACGTAGTGTCAATGTAAATTAACATAAAATATTATGCTGTGCTGACTTAAAATACAACCTTGGGCCTTGGTTGTTGGCCACCTCGAAACCAAAATGATATAAAAAAAATGTTGGTCGATTTTGGGGCAACGCAACGCGAAATATTATTCTAAAGTTTTACCAAGATTTGTGTGCTACCTCGGTAGGCCTGTTTATTCGTTTTTTGGTTTAAAGATTTCTTTTTATAAAATAGGTATACATTATTTTAGTTTCCTCTAATGTTTCTTACTTTTTTCTTTTTATTTTTTCCAAACATATAAGTTTTTTTTTAATCATAGTAATAGGACTGAAGTGAGGTGCAAATACCAAAGTGTTTTCTCGCATATGTTCTTATTTTCTGTATTGTAACGGATTAAACATGTAAATACAAAAATAAAGTTATCCCACTCTGGGTTAAAAATGAGTTTTAATAGAGTTAGCTATTTTCATAAAATAATTTTTATGAATGTTTTATAAAAATAGCTAACTCCATATCTAATGCAAAACATCTAAATAAGTTACAATAATTATATTACCGAAAAAGATTTTAGTTACAAAGATTATTTAGTTGATTTGTATTACTGATCTGCCAACTTCACTTATTAACAACTTTTAATTTCTTTATTTCAACAACTTAAATTAAATACCTTAATTAGATTTGATTGCTCTTGAATATAGAAATAAAATAGGATATTTACCTCTATTGTACTATGGCAATGGGGGAGTTAAATATTTAAATTTTTTAATGATGCTTTTGGCACAGAGCGGACAAGTTTCCTTAATGCATAAACTACTTCTGATGAAAATTCAATTATTATAGGGTAAAGTTTTCGGTTTTAGGGACATGAAATTTCAAAAGTTTTAGGTTTTGCATTGTGATTTGTAACTAAATCGAGGTATGGCTTTCTGTTTTAAAAAGAAAATACTTTTATTTTAAAGAGGAGTCAATATACCTGTCACGTATTTTATGATTACACACTTATTTTGAGAAGTCCATTGCTAGTTATACTGCTCTTTCCGCATGTTATATGTGGCATGGGAAACTTGTAAAAGTCCATTCAATTAGTGTCAGTTTTTCCAGCATGCTTTTCAAATCTTATGTAGTCAGAGCATTTCGAATTGGGGTTGGACTTTGTTGGACGACCGTTGCGCGATGCAGTTGTTTGCTTCAAAAGTTATTTTTGAAATAAAGAACTTTCTCGTCCAAAATTCTTCATATTTTTCAGTTAACTCTCCTGCTTTTATAACTCTATAAATAACAAGAGTACTAATATGTACTCTCTTATCATTCAGCATTGCAAGAAGAATGTTTATTAGTGAGGCAAAGTAAACATTTCAAAAAATAACATGCTCGATAATAATGCGTTTAACTTAATGCAAGTATATAGATAACAAAATGAAATCGTAAAGTTGCTGCGTTTTATCCTTATTTTAATGATGGAATGTAAATTGAAGCTAAGATAACACATTCAGCTTAATAGCAAGATAGTCTATGGTACGTAAATAGTATATTGGTTTCGTGATGAAACAAATATTTGTTTGGTGGTTGTCAATTAGTTGAACATATTTAGGGGACTTGAATTGCACTTAAAGAATTATAGAATTCAAAATTCAAACCTAAAGCCAGATAAATGTATATATATTTTTTTGCATGTTTACTTTTTTTTCTATTACAAAAATTAACAAACAAGGCTTCTGAAAGACAATCATAATGACCTTATCATTAGAACCTTTAACAAGGTTAAAATGTTTTAATATCAAGATAAAAAAAGAATTTCAAATTAAAATAAATCGTGTTATAAATTAAAAAATAGAAATCAAACGAATTAAGTTATTTAAAATAAAAAAGTATATAATTATATATATATATATATATATATATATATATATATATATATATATATATATATATATATATATATATATATATATATATATATATATATATATATATATATATATATATATATATATATATATATATATATATATATATATATATATATATATATATATATATATATATATATATATATATATATATATATATATATATATATAACTAAAATGTATTCTACAAAATAGAGTGCTAAATGTTCTTAATAGAACAGAGCAATTATAAATTAGTAGAAAATCACATCACAAAAACTACTTTCATTTAACACTGTGTTTCATCATTAAAGACTCATCAGAAATGATTGAACAAATTAATAAAACTTTTATACAATTTATACAAAAAAGTAAACAACTTATACAAAAAAGTTATATTACAGGAAGTCGCAAGAGTCTTCAGTGCTTTAAATTTTCTGACACTATTATTAAAAAAATTCTTTAGAAATGAATACTTATATACTTTTTAGAAAAAATAATTTTTTAAAGGGGGATTTAATGTAACTATTATTTGAGCTCATTTATTTTTATAGTTTTTTAGGAAAAACCTATTTTTGTGTCTGCAATTAGAAGTTATTTCCGATTTTTTGTTTAATAAACATTCTTGATTTGCATTTGTAATTAATTCAAAAGTTTCTTTTAAGCAGTGTATACATTTTTTGGAAGTATTATTATATGTAGGCGCTCTTTTAAAGATAGACCAATTCAGTATAAAGTTTTCAACATTTACAATTCCCATATATTCTTTGACAGCATCGTATCATTTGAATACTTTTTATTTTTAAAAGATGGGTTGTGATTGGAAAAACGTTTTTCCATTCACCCTCTGTTATACTAATATATTGTTTTTAAAGATGCACAATAATATATTTTTAGATGATTTAGTTATAATTTCAATTGTTAAAAAGTCTATATTGCCGTCAGAAACGTTTAAATTTATATTTTTATTTACAGAGACAAAGACTCCACCACCACGTTTGTTAACTTATTTATAAAACGAAATCAATTTTATTGTTCAGCCTATTTTAAATACGCTAAACATTAAAACCATTGTATAACCTAGAATATATTGTATTTCAGAATGAATCTTTTATGGTTATGTCTTATAAATGTTTTTTTGTTTTTTTATGTAAAACAAAAATTTTATAAAACATTTTATATATGTATATATTCCTGCTCTATCCTTTGTGGAACTTACAATATAAAAACTGTGAAACTTCAATAGCTTCCACTGCAAAACAACTTTATCTCATAAAGCATTTACCATATAAAACCCACGTGGGACAAAAAAAATATTAAAGACAATTTCACATGGATTACATGTGGGAAAAACTACCTGTATTCATCTACAATTTTTCACTGGGATTGGCTTGTAGCTATAAGAGATTGAAATGATGTATAATATATATATATATATATATATATATATATATATATATATATATATATATATATATATATATATATATATATATATATATATATATATATATATATATATATATATATATATGATAAGTAAATTCTTTACTAATAGTGGTATTTTCTGGAGCGTTAGGAGGCAAATTAATTTTTTACTAATAAATGTTTAATAAGAATAATAATAGAATCAGTGATAACAATAATTATTACTATTAACAAATCAATTTTGATATATAACATTGAAATTATCATCTATAAAAATATGTTAATCTAATTTAGAGAATCTTAAAACCATTAAGAAGCAATAAAAGAACAAAATTAAGTTAAATGATGCAGTATAGCAATATAAAATGAAATAAAAATATAGAAACAAAGAAACTGTAAGAAATGGATAGAAAAAAACAAAAACAACTATAAATTTAC